GAAATGATTATTCATTTCCAGTACACAGACATACTCAATACTGTAATGGTGAATGCTTCATTCCGTCAACCTGAAGGTTAGGGAAGCACGAATATCCTGCAGAGTGCTGACAAATGTTTCATTGCTCCTGCCATGTTCCCCCTGATCTCCAGCTTCCCCTGGGGAAGGCTGCTTAATGCTATGACTCAGACCAGAGATATGCTACAATGACATTCTGCCTTCATTCTCCCTGAACTCACTAATTTCCTTTCCCAGTTTTTTTTTTTTAATCAAAATGTTATCAGGCCAATTAATGATGATTTTCCCATGGAACAGAAAACATCTTTCATCACTGGTAGTCATTCCTTTGACAGAAAGTGGATAATAGCAGAGGTCTGAATTTTAATATGTAAAATTAAATGCTTGGGGCTTAAGCATTATCAGAGGTGGTTATCAAAGAATATTCCACTCCTTCCCACAGGATTTTCTGGAAGGAAAGAGAAGGAATGTACAGAGAATCCTTTTCAGCTTTAACACCTGTGAATAGAAGGGTTGTAGGCATAGGTTAAGCACAATGCGCTTAGTGGGTGGTTGATCATCATCTGGAGAGAACATAATATTGAGGGACAAATTAGTAGAAGGGTATATAATGGATGAATAACCCACCCCATCATTTGACAGAATAAGGCAATTGCAGATGCTGTGAACAAGGAAGTAGCAGTGAAGGACTTGAGCTCTGCATGCCATGCAGCCTTTCCTCCAAGCACACTTGTTGCATCTGTAGCTTCTAGCAAATTCTAATAATCGCATTTGCAGTAGGGATATTTTTTTCCTTGCATAAACACTGTGTTAGCAAAATGACTTGTACAGTATTATATGGCTGTGTTTGCCAGTCCTCTAGAGACTTTCAAACCCTTCTTCTAGGAAGCCTGAGGATCCTACCTACAAACTTCCAATTCCTGGAAGTATTTGCTGTGGGTGAGGTAGCTCAGTCAATTTCTGAAATGGTACTTGCTTTGGGGTATGTAGCAATGTTCTTGGAGCATTGCCACTGCTGTTACATTTAGGCAATATGAGAACTTCCTCAGTAAGCAACCTCTAGAAAAGTGAGCTGCAGGAGCATTATTGTATTAGCTTACCCTGAGACATACCATCAGATCTCTTAGTTATTGAAATACCGTGTAGCTTCAGCTGCAGGAAATATGGTTTTGTTTACATGTACTTCTCTGTTGTGGGTCTCGAGGAACAAGAGAAAAATGGACTCTTGTCAACAGTGAGAGGGAAGACAGCCACAAAACTTCACATTGGAATTGCCCACAACTCCACTTGACTGCATACATACAAACATGAAATGAATGTAAGATGCAGCTATTCACAGCAGCCCCCTGGACTTCTAGTTATTTTTTTTAAAGAATATTTGTGCCCCCCACTTACAAAAATCCCAACATGAAAATGTTGTTTTTCCTTTTATTTATTAATTCAGCCAGCTTCCAAGGGAAAGAAATTAATGGAGTGCATAGCAACTATTTAACACCAAATTCGCAGGATAAAGATGATTTTCCCACTCTTTCAACCAAAGTTTATGAATGATGTGGAGAACTTCAGCTGGGTTGCTAAAAGAACAGGACCAGGTCATAAAACTTACTTTGGACTGTTGAACATAAAGTATAAAACTGTAATCTTGAATATCTAATATTAATCTTAAGATATTTTAAGTAATATTTAAATCAGTTTTTAATATTTTAATTAGTTTTTACAGGGTGGTAACACCAATGCAATATTTGTCTTGCCTGGAATTCATTCATTTATGCATTCCTTTTCTCAAACGCTTTTTTGTCACTTTCTGCCTGGCTGTAACATGGTTCATAAATAATGTAGCCTAGACTGAAAGGATTTCTCACATTTTTTGTTCTCAGATTTGAGACCTCCCGGTGATAGTCCAACACATGGGAGTTGCCAGTGTTTATTCTGGTTGCATTTTTCATCCTTATGATGAAGCCTTGTTACTGGGGGAAAGGTGGCTAGTGGCCTGCTGCAGAGGCAAAAAAAAAGAAAAGAAAGAAAGATGAATATAAACACTCTCAAAACTCAGCATGCCATTGGTTGTGAGTCTTGAATCAATGAGATGTTTCCTCTGGAAAATGAAGAAAGGGGAAACTTATTCTATTCCTATGTTTATTATTTTGATGAAGTTCGTTGATGAAGAGATTTATATTCAGGCCAGGTGCTCTTCACTAAGTGCCAGTTGGCCATATCCTTATATAATATCAGGATATTCTGAACTTTTTATTGCTTTTAATATGTATGTGTTTGAGTATCCTTACATAAGATCTGCAATCATTATTCCAGTAATACTTTTGCCATGGCTTACTTTGATTGATACAAAAGAAACCTATTGAAATAGCATGGAGTCATCACTGTACCAGCAGCCACAGTACTGCCTTCAGATGGCCCCATCCAATTGGGCTTTGGTCTGCTGATAGAAGAGGATGGTTGAGAATGAAAGGAACTATAGTCCAACATGTCCAACATATAGTCCAACAAATCTGATGGGCACCTGACATCCAATAAAAAGTGATAAAAGTACCGTACAATGGCTTTGGGCAGATTAATGACAGCTTAGAAGACTTTTGGCACATAAATTTGTACACTAAATACAGCAAAAGTGATTGAAAACTTGGTATTGTCTGATTTTCCCAATGCAGAATGGAAAATTCTATCAAGCATTAATTTGTATGGCCATTCATCTCACCATATGACTCTGGGCAGTGAACAACATTTAAAAAATAAAAACAATTAAAATAATATAAATACATAGCAGTCAAGAATAAAGCATCCATCATAATGACATATATACAGTAGCAGAACCATATCTCTTCAGGAAATCAGACCGACTCTTCTCTCTGAATCAGTTTTGAACTGAAAGCATCTTTTATTGAGGCAGGCCTTTAACATGTGAGTTGGTATGAATGATATTTATTTTAGACATAGGTTTTAAATGAAGTTTACATGCTTACATTACATGCATTACATGCATTTCCTTAAGAGAACATGGTAGCATGCCCCCACATTTTCCCCACAACAACCACCCTGTAACATAGTTTGGCTTGGCAAAGAGTGACTGAACCAAATATCTAATGAGTTCCTGTGGCTGAGGATGGATTTAAATCTGGGTCTTCCTAGTCCTCGTCTAATACTGACACCACTACACCACTACGATATTTGAGACTGTATATTTAATTTGTTGTACATTTTACTCATTACTGTTACTCACCCCAACCACCTTCTTTGTCAGAAAGGAGAAGAATAATTCAACAATATGAACACGCGCTTACACGCACATACATAAGCATGGATTGAGATGGTCATTTACCTGTGTGATAGTTACTTGTAGATTTACATTAGTTGATTAAACGTGAGATGGTTAAATAGTATTTATTTACTTACTAGATGTATATCCTGACTTTATTGCAGGGATTTGATTTCTCTTAAATGGCTGTTTTGTAACTGGTCACACTAGAAATACAACATTTGTGGAAAATCTGGCAAAAGTTTCATAAAAGATAGGGAAAAAATGAAAGCATGGACAAACTTTGAGGAAAAAGTGAGCTATACATAGTACTTTTTAAAGCACCTATTGCAATGCTGATGGTCTACTCCATCCCCTGTGCTTTGAAGCCTACTTAAAGGACAAGAACAAATATACCAACCACTAGGTTAAAAAAAGGGGGGGGAGCGAGCCCATGAGCAAAAAGACAAAAGAAAAACTGAGAGATCTTCCAGATGAAAGTATTGCCTTCCCAGTAGAAAGCTGAGATGTGTTCCCTGCTGATCACTTGCGTTTGTAACTGTGAACTTGCACTTCTGAGGAATTTTGACATGGCCTAGTTGTGCAAATTAGCCTAGTTGGATTAGAATCAGTGTTTCTCAAAGTTGGCACCTTTAAGAGGTATGGACTTCAACTCCCAGAATTCCCCAGCCAGTGATCTCAAAAGCCTCTTCCAACCCTTGCGTTCAATGATTGTATGACTCTTGTCTTTGAGAATACATTTTGATACTGTAAATAGTATTTTACAATTTTATTACATATTTATTACATAGTTTTAAAGAAATCATTTCAGAAAATAAAAGCTAAGTACTAGTAGCTTAAAATTTAAAACAAAACATTAGACTATATTTCATATTCTGTTTTTCCAACTGTGGAAAAAATGTAAGTCTTGGAAAAACAGTAGAAAATATCCCCCCACCCCCCAGCCTCAACTTGCCTGATTTTTTCCACTTACCTTTAACAGCCATGAGACACGGCCCTCCTGGCAGCCATTCTGTGAAAACAACCACACCATTTTTTTTAAAAGGCAAATGTAGTCACTGATCCAAAAGGTTGCCCACTCTATAAATAGGAAGGCAAAAAAAACCAAACAAACCAAAAACCTCAAAAAGCCTTGCTCCTGTGCTACTTTCTACAGATAGTATAAGGAAGACATGTTAATGTACAGCTTTTGCATAATCTTATGAATAGAGATTACACATAGGTCAAAACTGCCGGGAATAGAAAGATTAAGGCAGTGCCATTAGAATCAGTCTCTCCCAAATATATCCACCCAAATCAGCAATGCATTCTTCAACCATGAAGAAGGAAAGGGATTTCTTACACCAATTTATAATACATTGGGAAAAATGGCTTGTATCACACAGTCCTTATTCCTTAGCTAAGCAACGTTTTGCAAATATAGCATATAAAAATACTTTTTAAAAAATGGACTGTTTTGCAAGATTGCTACGTACATTGCAGATTCTATGACCTGAACTTTATCAGTGTTCTATACCGATGAAGATTACTAGAAGGAAAGAAGAGAGAATCACTGCTCTTGCTGGATGTTATTAATCTACATGAGTTGTACAGCTCAGTTCTAAACATCTGGATCCAATCAAAAGATCATGTGTTGGAAAGCACTCCATTGGCTTCCAGAAACAAACATCTTGCTGAGAATTTTGCACAACTTTATTATGTTAATGAGAAACTGTAGGAGCCTAAACAGCCATTTTAAATAATTCAAACTTTGCAAGCAGATTGTCTCTTTACATGTGCACATACACATCACTGTGCTAGATAAACATTACTATGGTTGTTGGCTTTGGAGTGTTGTCTTTCAATTATTTCTGAACATTTAATGAAACAATGGCAGCAATACAACTTGGATTCTTACTTTTTTCATTTTTTACATGCATCAGAATAGAAGCACAATATGTCATGCAAGATGCTGAACTGGTGCATTATGTAGATCGCCGAATTATCTCAATGGAGGTAGGTGCTATCTATATAGTTGGAATATATATGATCAATTGTTTTCTTTGTGGGGAACTTATATTCCATCAGTTTTGGGGAAATCAACTGCTTTCATTTAAAATAAACTAGCTTTTTAGGCAGCGTTTAAAGTTTAAGAAACAACCGAGTGGGGTACAGTTTATGAAAGAAAGTTGGAATTACTGCTGCTCCTATTGAATTTATTACCCTGTAAAATGTGCACATCTGCACTGGGTAAAATCCAAAGTCTAGCTATTTTTAGGTTCACTTGAAGTTGATGGGAGAGAGTGCATGCTTAATCTAACATTGGCTAGATTATGTCTTGTATACTTAATAATGACAGACCAAGTGGAAGAACAGTATAGGAGTAGGCATATTCTTAATCTTTAGAAGCAGATCCATCTACATACAGATTAAATGTCACAAATATTCCAGGTGCTCCTCAAACAGGACCTACATTCTAACCCTCTACGTTCACTCATCTGGAGGTTTTATCTAAGTAAATAACATTCAAACCTCTACATTTTTTTCTGGAACATAAATACCAGAGATTTCTTAACATAGTTCTATGAATCTGCCACATTACCAAACATATAATACTTTCATTATAATTGGCAATTTTACTTGAATATTAGAATAACAATTTTATGAACGTATTTTATTATGTCAAAGTGGGAAATCTCTGCTCTCAAGAGATTCCTGGGCTACAGGATTCCTCATTATTAGCCACACTTTAATGGGAATACTGTGAATTAGCAATATCCAGGGTATCAGAGTTTGCACATCTTTATGTTATGTCATATATGGATAAATAGAGCAATTATTTATGTGTGCATCTAAACTATGTGCCCTTGTAGTCAGCGGTTTTTATCCCAGGTAAGTGTGCAATCTTATGTCTCCTCTACTTGGAGTAAACTTTATTCAAACCAGTGGAGTTGATTTCCAGGCAAAAACTCAAAAGACTGCACTCTAACTACTGCTGGGACAGCTGTTCTTTTTTCCCTATGTCTTTTTTGTTTCTGAGAGATCAGTGTTCTGTGAATAGTTTATAAACTGGGACTATGCAGTCATTTCATGAAGCACGATCATCTAGTGTGTATGGTTGGTGTTGAACAGAGGGGGGGAAATCCATCTTTTTTCCTGGCAGTGTGTCTGAAGCTTTCATAGCTGCCTGAAACATAATGTTAGTCTGACATGTAATGTTATTTTCATGCCAGAAAAAAAGTTAATGCCTCAAGAGGCCATCCTTCGTCTCAGCCAACCTGAACAACTATCAGCTTATCTCAAATCTTATCTTTCTGGGGAAGATTGTTGAAAAAGTAGTAAGAAAGCAATAAAAGAGGGCCCTTGATGAAGCAGATTTTCTGGATCCCTTCCAGATGGGCTTCAGGCCCAGACAGAGGATTGGTTGTTTGAATGGATGACCAGAACCATTTCTTCATTAGGGTGAGTTTAGCCCTCCTAGTCCTGCTTGATTTTTCACTAGTCTTAATTCCACCCATCATGGTACCCTTTGGAGCCATCTGCAAGGGTTGGTGGCAGGACTACTATTCTACAGTGGTTCCACTCTTTTCTGAGTGGAAGGGTTTTAATTGGTGCTAGTGGGAGAAAAAAGGTCCAGCCCTTGGGCACTCCAATATAGAGTGGCTCAGGGCTCAGCCCTCTCCCCATTCTAGTATTTACATGAAACTGCTGAGTGAGAGCATCCTCCAATCTGGGGTGAGGTATCATCAATATTCTGATGGTACTCAGTTGTGTATCTCTACCTAGACCAAGCAGGAGATATGGTGGAAGTCCTGATCCAGTGCCTGGAGACTGTGAGGGACCAAATGAGATCCAACAGGCACAGGATGAATTTCAGCAAGATTATTCAGAAACCCTCTGGTTCCATAACTGTGCCACTTTTAACTATGAAGTGGTCCTGCAACGAATGAAATCTGTAGCAAGGAAAGCCTTTGCCTGTAGCTTGGTCTAGTGCACTGATTGCAACCTTTTCTGGATTAAGAAGTTCTGGCAACAGTTACCCTTGCTTGCATCATCTTGCAGTTGCATCACTGCAATCTGTTCTACATGGAACTGCCCTTGATGACAATTAAAAAGCTACAGCTGATATAAAATATAAAGCGGTCTGCTTGCCCACTGGTCAGCTCTGGTATTGCAGAGTAGCACCAATATTGCAGGAGCTGCACTGGTTGTGAGTTGGCTTTCAAGTCCAATTCAAGATGCTCATTTAATACCTCTAAAGCCCTTTGTGGCTTGTGTCCTGGCTACTTCCAGGACTATCTGATTCTGGGGGAATCTGCCAGGCTGTTTTGCCCTGGCCAAGAAGCTGGGCTGAGAATCTCCTCTCTTGAGATGTTAAGGGGAAGAGTGTTCAGAAGTAAACCTTTTTTGTTGCAGCTCTCTTGCTCTGGAACGGTCTCCCCCCACCCAGGTTAGGTTGGCCCCTTTTCTGCTAAAATTTCAGAAGGCAGGATAAACTGTCCTTTTCTAATGAACCTTTGGGATGGAGCTCAACATGGAAAGTTAAATTCTAAGGTTCTGTTTTGCTGGAAGGAATAGAGATTCCTCTGCATTCCCTTTTGCCCTCTTCCCAGCCCTAATTCAACAGACCAATAGCTGTAGGTGAATAAATGAAATATCACTGTGGATGATAAGGGATTTAAAGGAATTGGGGCTGAAGACTCAGGGAGCAAACACATCTGATTAATTAGTCAATTTCCTGATTTAATTCCTAACCCAATCCAAAGCACTGCTGGGGGAACTCACACTTGACTGGGTATTCACTGCTGAGATCAAATGTGCAAAATCATTCTCTTTTGTGGATTAGCCTTCCTACTGGCCATGCGTTTGGGAGTGACAGAATGTGTAATCCTACCTACACATACAGAATATATTAGTTTGGGAAAGATTGAATTACAAATTGTGTGACAGCACAGTCAATGTTCTCATCATCCCTTCTTCCATGAATTCATTGCCATCCAAATACTTGCAGGTAATATCTGTTTTGACTTACAAATACATGCTCACATAGTTTCAATCTCTGTACTTTCATTTTCAATACAGAAATGGTTTATTTTTTCCTCCTGTTGTCTACTGAAGAGTTGCAAAGCCATCACTCCCAAGAAAGGTTCTTTAGCTCCCTCCCTTTCCAGCTGTGCGGCATCTGGATCAGCAGGGGCCCCATCGGTATCTCTTGCCAGCACAACTCCTATTTTTATAACCTCTTGAAAGAAATGATTATGCTGCTATTGAAATTCTGCAGGCAGCTGTTACCCAACTTTCTTCAAGCCCCAAGATGGGAAATTGGCTCTTGTTAGAAAATTGAAAAGGAGAGCTTATTTTAATTGTGTACTTAAGTGTCCACTTCAAAATCATGTACTTAAGTATCTGTTTTCTGTAAATATGAGAAATCCATGTTTGCAAATCTCAGTGCCACACAGGTACATTCGGGAACGCTCAGCCTTGAGCTGACACTGTACTGAGCTCCCTGCCTGAAATAATTATTAGTATCCCTGGGTTTACACCCAATTGTATTGTCAGTTTGTTTTGAATGAAGTACTTGGGGCTAAGAGACCAGATGACAAAATGAATGAGTTGGAAGGAGGGAGAAACGTTTCATCAAATTATGTGAATCTGATCTCAGGAAATCTCAGTTGAAGGCCAGGCTATTCCTGGAGAATTTTAGACTCAGAAACCTTCTGTTGTTGCACTCTAGTTTCTCAGTGGGACTTCCTACATCTCTGTCCTGCCTCCCTCTGCTTTTTAGAGTATGTACCCTTCATGCTGATCTGGAGGTAATTAGAGTCATAGACAATCTAAGATGGAACCAATAGCAGAAATCAGTAATGGATGGAAGAGCATCACATGAATTCATCTGAAATAGAAGAGAAAAGATATATTTGGATTAACTTTAGGGCTGTGCACATTATAAAAATCATTCAGAATTGTTTCAGACTTGTGTGGACATGAACAACAGCTCTGAACTAGTCAATGTAGACATACATACCTTTTTTCAGGCTTCAGTTCATTAACAGACCCAATTTTTAATGCAATTCTTAATGCAGCTGTATCATTTCTTAAGTTCATGCTGAAGCCTGAATAAAGAAGGCTTCTTTAATGAAAGGGAGAGAGATGCTACAGCCATGCAAGTACTAAGCACTTTACAAATAAAGTCTGAACCATCCACAGCTCTAGTAAATATATAGTTTGGGCCCAACTCTTAAACTGGTCCTTTTTGTGTTCTAACTAAAGAACCGATTGAACAAATGCAATCAAGATATAGCAGATTATGTGGAAGAATTCCAGGAATTTTCAAAGAGGCTGATGTCACGTCTAGAAGGACTCAACGTTTTAAAGACTGAGCTGAAAAATGATGTAAACCATTTGCTAACAAGAGTGGAAAGAGCTCAAAGAGACATTTACTACTTTGAATCTGCAAAGGAGTCACCCAGCCCATGCGTGGACGTTGATGAAGACCTTTTGGAGCAGCAGTTAACTGAAGAACAAGAGTCTAAAAAAAAAGTCAAACTCATGCTGAATGCAAGTAAGAGCAGTTTACCCATAATATTTAAAATGTATACTTATAGTTTCATGGTTGGACTGATACATACAATGTATTGCAAGAATGATACTTAGCAGATGCCTAAAATCAATCTCATAAAAAATAATGGCCACAGTCTCACTCAGTGTTTTAAAAACTCTTGGCACTCTTAGCATGATACTAGACTGTCCGTAAACTAGCACATAAAATTATCTGAAGACATGGCAATTATTTTAATGCATGAATGCATCCCTTTTATTCATGAAAGTTCAAGACCAAATTTGCTAATATATTCATTCTAACATTCCTTGATGACAAAGTTAAATCTACAAAATTAAACAATTAAAATAGGCCATAAACGGCCAAAAAAAAAAAAAAAAAAAGCCAAACATTTGGCAACAATAAACAGAAGCAATATAATGGAAACAATAAAAATAAACATACATAAGGAAACTTTTCCTTTCTGAAAAATCTTAAGTACTTTGAGCTGAATTAACAAGCATCTGATACAGCCTTTATAGATAATTTAAAATACTTGTCATCTGACAAGAGATGTCTCTACAACTTTATCTGGCCAGTATTTATAGATATTTATAATAAATGTACCCCGATTGCTCCCAATGATCTAACAAAAATCATTGTGTGCAGTTTGTTTCTGCAAAGAAACCCTAATTTCATTTTTGAAATAATATAATATTGAATCCCCATCCTTCTCTAAATCTTGAAGCAATCAGAAGCTGAGGCTCTGCCTGTTCGTGGCTAGTAATGCAATTCTTTTGGCTCAGATATAAACCCTTCTTATTTGAATGAACTTATTCTCAGATACGAATTAAGATTGCAGCGTAATCTATTGAATTTAACATTGCTATATTATTTTGACAGCTCTTTTTAAAATTAGACTTTTTTAAAGGTTTACACAAATTTCAGGTTTCTGTACTTTGCAACTGAATGTTGACTAAATTAGAAGTTTGTCTATGGGTCAGCTGAATAATAAAAGTATGCTCTGGGTCTCCAGATTAGAATCTCATTAGCAATTTCGTGTTCTTTGAATTAACTCCTTGTTTCCTTCAGCAGAGTCTCAATATGCTTCCCTTTTATCCCAATGTTATCCTATTATATTGTATGCAATTACACACACACACATACGTACATGTATTATATGAAAAATGTGCTACATACGTTAAGAACGATATGATTGGGGGAGGTGCCAATATAGAAAGTTCGTTTTATGTTTTGGCTGATGAATATAAAAGGAATGCTCTAAAATTTCAGTTTAAATTAGTTTATCTCTTTTGATTAATGTTCAGATTGGAATGAAGTTCTTCAGAGTCAGTGATGAACACTTTGGCTCAAAAATTACCAATGTAATAATATGCCGCTGTAAAATATTCAAGAATAAAATATATTTAGAATGTTTTCATATTTTTTAGAGAAACTATAATGAGAAATCTGTGTTTTTTGAGACATAATTTCACAAATATGTTGTCTACAGTTTTAAAAAATGAGGAAATGGGACAGAACGGATTTATGGATGAACACGTGCAAAACTGATGTAGACTGATTATTTTATTTACATCTTAGATATGTTTGTGATTGCTTCCAAGACTCTGGGACATTTATCCCAATAGAGTTAAAAGCATATGCAAATAATCAAATTATAATAAAAACCATATTCAGCATGACCTCCCCCAGCAAAATAATGCAGCAGTACAGTCACCATATAATCAAAATCACGCTAACAAAACTTGTTGAAACGGCACTATCTTAACAGTTTTGTAAAATCTCAGCAGGGAGGATACCAACTGTATTTCCAAAGGTGATATGGTCCACAGACTGGGGGCCAACACAAAGAAAAGCTGTGTTCAGGACCATGCCTCTTTGAATTTTTGCAGTGATGGAAGCCTCGGTCTCCTTTCCCTGAATGAATATTAGTGATCCAGATTATACCATTGCTAATCCAGTTCTTTCTGATGAGAGTTATTTTCCAGGCACAAAATTTCTTTATCTTGCAGGCTGATCAGAACAGTCCTCCGTTGTGAGTGTTTCCCAGCCCAAGAGTGACAGATTGAAGAATTGTGCAAGAGGTGTCTTGAACCACCAATGTTTACATTTTCAGTCAAGGATGCTTCATTTAAAATGTTGCAGTGGATAGATGTACCATTGGTCCTGCTTTGAAATTAAGCAGAAAAATTCCATTTGGCCCATGCATGCTTTAAAATTACCCACTACAAAGAAGGTTTTATGACTGTTAGTCATGTCTCAAGTGTAAGCTTAAGCAGCAGCCATTAGCATCCAACCACATAGCTCTCCTTATATGGAATGGAAATATTTCCACTCCTTTCAACTAATCTGGAGTAGTCCTTTAAACAGGGTGGTAGTAATATGACAAAGGTTGTTTTATGTTTTCTACTACAGCATCTTTCCTGAAGGGTTTGTCTACTCTGAGTGCTGACCATATTTATTTATTTATTTATTTATAACTTTAAATAGCCTGT